GCCGGTGCCTCTCCATGGCATCTGTGCTGCTGCTTTCCCCAAAAACGCAGCCTCCTGGGGCAGCCCCGCTCTGTGGGATGCTGTGAGGCTGTGATGGCCCCAATCCCAGTGCCAGGGCAGGTGCCAGGAGCAGGCAGAGGGCACCAGGTCCCCCCCCACAGACGTCCCCCTGTCCCCAAACTGCAGTGACCGAGGGGCAGGGACCCACGCGAGCTGCCTTGGAGCAGCCCAGCAGCTGCAGAGCACTGAAAAGGAAAAGCCAAATGGGGAAAATCAGTGCCCGAGCTCCCCAAAGTGGCACCTCCTGGTGCTGGGAAGGGTGGCACAGGGACAGGGGCGTGCGCATGGCTGCGGTGGCGGTGCCCACGTTTGGAGGGGCAGGGTGGGCTCCGTGCCGTGTCGGTGACATCCCCAAGGGGACCCCGTGCGCACGGGGGGCAGTTTGGTCCCATGGCATAGGGACAGGACCTCAGGGGTCCCACGTGTGGGCACTTGGGGCACAGCAGGGGGTGCACATGGCAGGGGTGGGCCCAAAACGCACGCACATCACAGGGACCCCGTGCTGGGTCCCACGTGGCAGTGGTGGCATGCAGGGGACACGGTGCTTGGCACCCCGGGCACCTCTGCTCCTCTTGCTGTGGGTTTGAGCCCTCCCTGGACACCCTCCCACACAAGTTGGTGGCGAGTTTTAGGGCTGGGGTCAGCTCAGCCACCCTCTCCCCTCACCGTGGTGCCGGAATGGGCGGGGGTCTCGCCGTTGGGGTGGCCGCAGCCCCCGGTGGTGGCAGGGGACAGGGGTGGGTGACATTGAGCCGCGCCGCGCGGTCTCTGTAGTGCCGTTCTTCCCGGGGCTGGATCTCCTCCAGGGAGGAGAGCTGCCGGAGTGATTTAATTCACACTGACTGCAGCTGACCTTGGAAACCCGCCGATAGACCGCCGCCATCGACACCGGCTCCGGGGGGGGGACACGAGCTTGGTGGGGCCCCGCGGGCACGGGGGGGGAACCGAGCAGAGCCAGACACCGTGCTGATGGGCGCAGCATCGCCCTGCTGATGGGACAAGAATTGCTGTGCTGATGGGCCAAGCATTGCCATGCCAAAGGTCTGAGCATCGCCGTGCCAATGGTCTGGTCTGAGCATCCCACATCCCACCTCAGCTGGGTCTGGGGGTGCAGAATGTGCCCTGCTGCGTCTGGGGGTGCAGGATGCAACCAGATGGGTCTGGGGGTGCAGGAGGTGCCCAGTTTGGGGCTTGCAGGTACACACAGGAGATGCCCAGCCAGATCTGGGGGTGCAGGAGGTGCCCAGCTGGGTCTGGGGTGCAGGATGCAACCAGCTGGGTCTGGGGGTGCAGGAGGAGCCTGGTTTGGGGTTTGCAGGTACAGGAGATGCCCAGCTGGGTCTGGGGGTGCAGGAGGTGCCCAGCTGGGTCTGGGGTGCAGGATGCAACCAGCTGGGTCTGGGGGTGCAGGAGGTGCCCGGTTTGGGGTTTGCAGGTACACACAGGAGATGCCCAGCCAAATCTGGGGGTGCAGGATGTGCCCAGCCGGGGGTGTGGGTGCAGGAGGAGCCCCAGCCCGCTGCAGCACCCTGCCTGCAGCTGCAGCTTGCACAGCAGCATCACGCTGTCCCTGGTGCAAGGCTTTGCCCTGCCTGGTACCAGCATCAAGCCCTTTCCTCCTGCAGCCCCAGCTGGAAGCTGCTGCCAGCGGGTGCCGTGGGGTGGCACGGAGGCTGGCACAGCAGGGACTGCCCCGTCCTTGCTGGGGACACAAGGGGGGGACAGGAGCTGGATGGGGGAGCAGCAGGGACGCAGCAGCACCCAGGGCTTGGCCATGGAATAGCTTTGAGCTGGGGCTGGGGGTGTCAGGGTGGCACAAGCTCGGTGGCTGCGGGGCCGGCGGTGCAGGATGCGGGCGATGCAGCCACGAGCCCGAGCACCTGCTTCTGGCCATTGTCCCCATGGCATCGCAAGGAGAAGCATCCCTGTAGCAGCCAGGTGCTAATTACCTGACAATTTTAATTCCTGGTTTGCAGCCAGCTCCAGCTGCTGGCACGCTGCTGCTGCTGCTGCTGCTCCTGGTGCTTGGTGCCCCGGGCAGGTTTGGTGCTGCAGCATCAGCCCAGCAAGGTGCAGGTCCCCATTGCACACCACAGCCCCGGGGCCTCGCGTGTGCCCTTGTGCTGTGGTTGTGCTGGGGGGCACTGGGGGGGTCAGTGGGACAGGGGCAGGTCCGAACTCCTTCATGCTGAATGTGTAGGAAGCTCGTGGCGAGCTTGTTGTTGCTCCGGGGGAGGGAGGTTTGCCTTTTGCAACTTGTCAGCTGCAGCTGTGCTGGCATCACGCAGGCGGGGCACGTGCCAGCTTTGTCACCGCGCTGAGCCTCGGCTGTGCAGGGGACACGACGCAGTGCGACGCTTTGCAACGCAACAGGACATGGCGCTGTGCAACACGGTGCAGTGCACAGCACCATGCAGTGCAGCACAGCACCATGCAATGCAGCAGTGCAGCGCGGCGCAGTGCAATGCTGCATGGTGCAACGCAGCACAACACAATGCAACATGGCGCAGTGCGGGGTGGTGCTGCATGATGCAATGCAATGCAGCACAGCACAGTGCAATGCAATACAATGCTGTGCAACACAGCACAATGCAACACAGCACCATGCAATGCATCGCGATGCGGTGCGATGCTGCACAACACAGCACGATGCAGCACAGCGTGGCGCAATGCAATGCGATGCTGTACAACGCAGCACCATGCAATGCATCACCATGCAATGCATCACAATGCAGTGTGATGCCACACAATGCAACACGATGCAGCACAGAGCAATGCAATAAAATGCTGTGCAACACAGCACAATGCAACACAGCACCATGCAATGCATCACAGTGCAATGCATCACAATGCAGCGTGACACTGCGCAATGCAACCCGATGCAACACAGCACAGTGCAATGCAACACAATGCTGTACAACACAGCACAATGCGACACAGCACCATGCAATGCATCACAATGCAACGCATCACAACGCAGTGTGATGCTGCACAATGCAACACGACGCAGCACAGCACAGTACAATGCAATATAATGCTGTGCAACACAGCACAATGTAACGCAATGCGATACAACACAATGCAATGCAACACAGCACAATGCAGCACCATGCAATGCAACACAGCGCCATATAACACAGCACAATGCAGCACAGCACAGCACGAGACGTGATGCAGCACAATGCAGTGCAGCACAGCGCAACACAACAGAACAATGCAGCGCTTTGCAACGCAACACAATGCAACAACATGCAATGCAACACAGCACTTTGCAATGCAGTGTGATGCAACACAACAAAGTGCCACAAAATGCAGCATGGCACGGTGCAGTGCTTTGCAATGCAGCACACACAATGCAGCGTGTGGGTGCTGCAGGCTGAGCTGTGACGCCCAGCCCGACCCCTGCCTGCTCTGCCCCTGCCCTGATGATGCAGGATCCTGACGATGCAAGGTCCTAATGATGCAGGGTCCTAACGATGCAGGGTCCTAACGATGCAGGGTCCATGCCCAGTGGGGGCTGCCCCACAGAGCCACTCCTGCCCCGGCCAGACGCTTTGCCCAGCTCCAGCCGAGGAGTTTCCTAAACAAGCTGCGCCTCGCCGCCCTGCCCGGTGCCATTTAAAAGAGCCCTGTAGTAGTTTGAATTCCCTAACCTGCCTTTTGGAGTAATTGTTGTCTTTTTTCCTCGTACAGTTGTTATGACAATAGTTTCACGGGGAGGAATTCCTTTAACCTCTACCCTTAATTGGCTCTTCCCTGACAGAGCTCCCTCTTTTGTTGCTGCTAAAACATGATTAGATCTGCTGCTCCAGTGAGTGATCTGATGGCAGGAAATTTTGACTCAGTCCTACCTTTTTGCATTTCTCTGCTCATTTAAAAAGCGAGGCTTGTAAGGAGCCGACAGTTTGAAAGGGTTTCGGCGACGCTTTCTTGTAGCGCTGCGCTCGACGCCTGTCTGTCTCGGGCTGACGGCACGGAGTGGAAAAAAAAAAACCACGGGGAAAGCTCAGGATGTGAGGGTGTCCCCTGGGGGGCAGCAGCTGGAGGCTCCCCCTCCACCTGTCCCTGCCCTGTGTTTGGGGCAAAAACAGAGGTTTTTGTCACCGGGCAGGGGCCCTGCACTGGCCTTGCTGTGGACACGGCCTCTGCTCCTCTGGATCAAGCGCCAGCTTAAATGGGGAGAAATCGGCTTTTTTGCAGCAGCAAGGTGGTGGGATTAGGTCGGATTTGCATAGAAATGGTGCGTGCAGATGTGGGAACGCGTTAGCGGCCTGTCGGAGCACGTGGGCTGGGAGTTCAACTCTGGTTTAATTTTCCCTGCTCTTTATTGCATTACCGTGGCCGGGAATTGCAGATCCGTGCTGGCACTGCACGCAAGTGCCGGTGCCGTGGGTGCTGCTGGTGCTTTGGGTGCTGCCCAAAGACTGGGAAATGATGCCCTGGATCCGGAGCCAGGCACTCAGCCCTGCACATTCCTGTGCCCCCAGCTTGTGCCGAGCAGCAGCAGGAGCTGCCTCGAGCTGGATCCTGCACAGATGAACCCCAGGAGCGCGCCCATCCCTGGGCAGGGCGCACGGTTGGGCGATGGGGGCACCCCAGGGTGCTCCCTGCCCCGATGCTGATGACGCACCTGAAGGTGCAGCCACGCTCTCATACCAGAGGCCAAATTCCATCACTGGGATGCACCCGGGCTGGCTGCGTGCTCGGGATCCCGGCCACGGCTCCTGGTGTGTGGGGAGCTCACAGTGGGGCTTGGCAGGAGCTGGGCACCCCGGGGACCAGCACCCTCACCAGGAGCCCACGGTGCAGCATCCGATGTTGCAGCGCTGACAGCACCACCAGGGCTGGGCAGGGGCAGATTTGGGGGTCTGGGGGGTGCAGGGATGGAGGCTCCGTGACCCTGATGCTGCGCCCACGCTGACCCCTGTCTGTCCCCACAGGTGAACGTGACGGTGGACTACATCCGACCCGCCAGCAGCGCCACCGAGACCGTGCCAGCCTTCTCGGAGCGCACGTGTGCCACCGTCTCCATCGGGGGAATGTAAGTGTGGCCCCGAGCCCCGCGCCGTGCTCTGCCTCCTGTGGGATTGGGAAAGGGGAGGCTCGTCCGTGCTGCCCTGCCCCGGCACCGCGTCGCCCCGTGCGCCCCAGCGGGGTGGTTTGGGGTCGTGAGGTGCAGGACCCCCACCACGAGCTGCCGGCCTCCAGAAGCATCTCGGCAGTGGGTTTGCTTGGAGGAGCTGTCACTGCGCTCCCTGCACTCTGTCCTGTCCCAGAGGCAAAGGACATTGCCACCCCCACAGCCTGGTGCAGCAGTTTGGGGGCTGCCCCACACGTACCCACAGCCCCGAGCAGCGCTGTGACCACAGGGAGCCCCCACTCTCAGCTGGAAGCAGCCCCCCTCATCGCCAGCCCATCCTCCACACCCCCCTGGCACCATTTCGTGCCCCAAGCCCCTTTGGTGGCTTCCCTGCCCCGTTGGCACAGGGGGGGGGCCGTGCTCCTCCTGCCCCTCCTCGCTGCGGGGCGGTTTTGGGGCGGTTCACGCGGGAGCCGTGCGGGGATGATTTGTCATAGGCCGTTTCCTTTCCTCCTTTTTTTTTTTTTTTTTTTTCCTGTGGCAGCTATTTTGGAAAGCTACCAAAGTGCTGCAGCTCTGCTCTTTTTTTTCCACGTTAATCCGAGGCCGTGCTGCGCGGGGGAAGCGGAGCCGTGCCCACGGGAGCTGCGCCCCGATGAAGGCACCCGATGGTGACCTTCAGCTCTGCTCATCTCCCGGGGGGGCGAATTCCTCTCTGGGGCTGCCAGCACAGATCCTGAGTCCCTGCGCCCCCCCAGCCAGGCAGCCCCATCCCCTCTGTGCCTCCGTTTGGTGCTGGGGGCTTTGGGTGCTCCCCGTGCCCCCATCCCCGCGCACCGGGGTGGGAAGCAGGTTGGGGGGCGACCCCAATCCCTGGGTTGTGCCCGGTTCTGGGTGCTCGGATCCATCCCCCCGATGGCTTCATTTCTCCAGGAGAGGAGGCTGTCAGCAGATGGGGCTGCCGGGGGGGCAGTAGCATTTAATGGGGGGGTCAGCGACCAGGGGGCATCCCCTGGGGGGCGCAGGGCGCGTGCCAGGGCCGATCCTGCCTCTCCCCGGGCTCTGCCCCGGGTGCTGGTGGCTGCGTGGGTTTAACAGAGCGGGGTCTGTGCCTCCGGCCCGCGCCGTGCCGCGGATGGAGCGGGGAAGAAAGCCCGGCTTGTGCGCCTGGCAGCCGGGCTGGGCTCAGCCTGCTTGGCAGTCGGAGCACGCCGCCGGTGGGGCACGGCCGCGCTCGGGATGGGAAGCGGGGAGGGTTCCTGGTGGCTGCCTCGCTTCTGGGGGCTTCTGGCGGCTCCCTCGTTTCCGTGCTGTTGCTCTTCGTGCAGGTGAGAAGAGCAGGGTGAGAGGGGATGGGGTGGGCGCAGGGTCATCACCCTGCCCCGAGCATCTCCTCTCCGTGGGGTCGGCTCTGCTCAGGGCAGCAGGGTGACGCTGCTCCGGGCAGCCTTGGAGGGGTCTGGAGTGCAGCCAGCCCCTGCTGCCAGCCCCAAACTGGGCCACGCGTCCCCATGCCCTGGAGCACGATCCCACAGCATCCCACAGCACCCCGTGACATCCCACAGCACCCCGTGACATCCCACAGCATCCCACGAGTATCCTGCACCACCCTGCCACATCCCACGGCATCCCGTGACACTCAGCAGCATCCCACAGCATCCCGCGGCATCCCACAGCACTCCGCAGCATCAGTTGGCATCCCCCAGCATCCCGTGACATTCCTGCAGCATCCCACAGCATCCCATGACACTCAGCTCGGTTCTGCCACATCCCACAGCATCCCACGGCATCCCACTGCATCCCACAGCATTCTGCAGCATCCCACTGCATCCCACCACATCCCACAGCATCCCACCGCATCCCACAGCATCCCGTGACATTCAGAACTGAATCTGGATGTCCCAGGGCCGGGATGCTGCAGCCCAGGGTGCAGGTGGTGCGCTCAGGAGCTGGCTGCACTCGCTGCTCTCGCGGCGCTCGCTCCGTTTGCTGCAGGCAGCTGGGGCGGGGGGCGCAGCCCAGAGCCCGCAGGAGGGGCTTCGGTGGGTGGGAAGCATCCTTGAGCCAACTTGGGCTGGATTTTCTGGGGAAAACTTGCAAAATGAGTGCCGTGCTGCCGGGGAGTGCATGGGGGGGGGGTGGCTCGCAAACGGCCCCTCTCCACTCCGCCCTGCTCCGAGTGGCAAAAACTGCATTTCACGGCCTAATGAGATTTTTTCCACAGCAAACAGCTTTTCATCTGTGCTCCCATATTCCCGTTCTTTAATCTGGGCTTAGCGCGGGGGGAAGCATCTTCCCTCTGCGCCCCGGCTCCCGCTCCTCTCCAGAGGCTGCTGTTGGAGGTGGGGGCCGTGCTGGGCTCCCCCCCGGGAGCAGGGCTGCGGCACGGCACCGCGCTCGCAGCTGGGGGGGTCTTCTGCAGGCTGGATCTCTGCGCCCCCCTTCCCTGCCTGATTTTGGGCTGAGCCCTGCTGGGTGGGCTGCCCTGAGCCCCTGGGGGCTGGGTGGTGGTGGCGGGGGGGGGGGTCTGGCTGCGGAAGCGGCGTGCGCCCACGGCATCGCAGCCGTCCCCGCGCGCACGGCACCGCTGCAGCGCACCCATCGTGGTGCAACCACTGCAGGGCACCCACTGCATTGCAGGCACCGGAGTGCACCCACGGGGCTGCGCCCATCATGGTGCACCCACAGGGCTGCGCCCATCGCCGTGCACCCCCTGCATGGCACCCTCGTGGTGCCACCAGTGCGGAGCCCCCCCGTTGTGCCGCGCCCATCGCGGTGCGCCCACAGCGCTGCACCCGCTGCAGCACCCATCGGGGTGCCCGCACTGTGCCATTTCCATGCCATTACCCATTGAGGGGGTGCTGTGCCAAGGGTGCCCGTGCTAGGCAGGGGTGTCCGGGGGGGGTGTTCACCCCGAATCCCCAGCAGCAGCTGCCAGCACCCCGCTCTCCGTTGCGCAGCCACGTGCGCAGCGCGGTCGGTACCTGCGTGGGCCGCGGTGCCAGGGTAAAGCTGGGCTCGCGCCCAAGCTCCGTGTAGGTTTTTGCAGCCGCTGGAAAGGGCCCAGATTTCGCTGCTGCCTCGCAAGCTGCTCCCTCCTACGGGGAGGAGGTGGCTGCTGCGGTCTTGTCCCCGGGAGCCGCGAGGATGCCGGTGCCGGGCTGAGGGCTGGCAGAGCTCCTGGAGCTGGGTGGGGAGCTAGGGGGGGGCTACGAGCGCGGGGACTTGGAGCGAAGCCGCTCGTGCCATTGAGCTGAGCAACCCTGGGGCACTGTCCCCGAGTCCCCCCCGGCCTCACGGTGCCCGCTGGGTGTTTTGTGCTCATCCCGGGGAGGAAAGCTCTCACCGGGAAGGTCGGTCCTGCAGGGCGGATGGGGGCGATGTCCCTGTCCCCACACGTGCCACAGCTCCCTGGGGACGCTGCTCACCCTCACACCTGGGTTTAGGAAGGATGTGAGGATGTGCTGGACCCCCAGAGCATTGGCCAAGTGCTTTGGGGTTGGCCAAATGCCACGGGGGGATGTGGGAGCCTCGGGGTCGCAGCGGGATCGGGGCCAGGCACCCGTTGGCTTCGTGGTGCTGGTGGCTGCTGGTGCCAAATCCTCCTCCTCAGAGCGTTGATTCTGGCCTAAAATCCCACAGGGGAAACCCAAAGTGGGTGTGGGATCAGCCCCAGGCTGGTGCCAACGGGTGGTCCCAAAGGTGGGCAGGGCGCCTGAGACCCCACGGCTCTCCTGGTTTGATCAGAAATCTGCAGGGGTACATGGCACATAAAAACCTCATCCTCACTTAATTTGGCTGAAGTTTCCCAACAAATTCCCCCTGGCGTTGCCCTGAGATGCTCCTGGTCTCTCCTGTGAGGAGGATGAGGAGAGGATGAAGGCGCAGCTCTGGGCCTGGATAACCCACCCCAAAAGGAGGATTTGTTTCCCGTTAAGCAGGCTGTGATGTATTAACGCGGCTCCGGTTGCAGAGGTGGTTTAACATTAGGTTTTTAATGATCCCTCCATTAATCCTGCTGTTCTGGGACTTAATGCTCGCTGCCCTCTGACCGGTGGAAATGATGAAAACTTTGATTTCGGGCACGTTGGATGCTTCTGGAGCCCGGCACCGGGAGCTCGACCTGCAGCTCGTCCTCTGAGTGCAGGGGATTAAAGGCTGGGGACGGGGCAGGGCTGGCTGGGAGTGGGATGCGCAGGACCCCATTGGGGTTTGGGGAGCAAAGGCAGGGTTTGGGGGTTGCCCCGACCTCGTGCTTGCTCCCAGGGGGTTTCAGCTCAGCTGGCTGCGGGCTCAGCCCCCCGGGATGGGTTGCAAGGTCGGCGTCATGCAGGGAGTCCATCAGCTCATGCTGGGTTTGCATTTCTGGGGGAAAAGGTGACAGCAGCCATTGGTGGCCCCTTTGGGGGTCCCCTAGGACAGCATTTGCTCCAGGTGCCTCCGTCCCGTGCTGCAGAGCCCGCTGGGGACCCAAAAAGAGCCCGGCCACGCTCCCCACGCAGCCCCAGCCCTTAAGCACTGCTCCTTTAGGACCCGGCAGCGCGGTGGGAGCGAACGCCGGCAATTGTGCTTGTCTTCTAAAGAGCCATAACCAGGCTATTGCTGAATAAATGAAGCCATCAAGCAGAGGTGGCAACAAGATTACAACACTTCCCGAGTGCTGGGGGCAGAATAAAATTGTCCGTTTAGTGAGCAGACGGAGCGCTCGCGCTAGCACGCTCGTTTCCTGGTGCTTTCCGTGCTGGGTTTTAATCTCCCTCCCTCCCCTCTGCCCAGACCTTCCCCCGCCCCCTGCTCCCTTCCCAAAATTGGGCTGGGGGTGCCGGGAGCTGCCCGGGGCTGTGTGGAGTTCGGTGTCCGCTCTGGGGGCTGCAGATGGGGGCTCACGGGCCCCCCAGCCCGGATCCAGGTGGGCTCTGCAGGTGGGACCCCCAACCCTGGGGTGGGGACAGGGGACAAGGAGCAGTGTCCTGGGGGGTTGTGACCTGTCCTGCCCAGCTCTGGTGGCAGTTTCCACTGGGGGCTTGTCCCCAAAGTGGTGGGGTTGGGGACGTGCTGCTGCCATGTGCAGATGTGCTGCAGCCCCCTGGCCGGGCAGGGCAGCCCCCCCCCCAGCTCACCGGTGCCGTGCCGTGGGCACCTCCCCTGGTGCGCACCACCGGGGGGGGGGGGTCCCACATCCCTGGCTGTGCACCCAGCAGCGTGCGGGACTGCGGGGCTGTGGGGAGCCACCTGCACCTGTACCCTGCGTGGGGAGGATGAGGATGGGGGCAGCACGGTCCCCTCCTGTCCCTGCCATCCCCTCGGGGCCGGATGGAAAGAGCCCGGCCAGTGCGCGGGTGCTGCCGTGCTCCACGGCTGGTGGTGCCCGTGCCTCTCGTGCCTTGCAGCCTCACGGGGTGGTGCAGCACAAACTCTCGCACGTGAGCTTCTCCCCTCGCACACTCGTGTCCTGGCCTTGCCGTGGGGCCACCCGCTCGTCCCCGCGCCCTGCCTGGGGCTCCAGCTGTCAGCGGCCCCGCGCGCCTCTCGCTGCCGCTCGCTCCGTGCTGCGACAGGCGTCAGCTGCCGCCCACCTCCTCTGCATCTCCTCGGCTGCAGATGGCTGGCGTGCTGCAAAAGCTGCCCCGATCGGAGCTCGCCTGGGGGGACTCCCTCCGGCAGCAGCCTCGTGGCTGCCGGAGGCGGCTGCAGGTCTGCGCGCGAGCGCAGCGCTCCCTGGCACGGTGCCGGCGGCCCCGAGCTCACCCGCGGCACGTGCCGGTGGTGCAGGGCTGGGCAGGGTGCTGGGCACCGGTTCCTGGCGGCTCCCTGCCCACCAGCTGGGTGCAGCCACCCAAAGGTGCCCGAGGGCAGAGCCCTGGGAGGTTTCCTGCTGGAGGAGCGGAGCAGGGGGGTACCTGGGGGTCGGGGCCGCTTGGCACCAGCCTGTGGCTGAGCACCGGCACTGCCAACCCCGGGTTCCTCGGTGCTGGTACCCTAAAATGTGTCTCCATGGCCCCACATGGCCGTGATTCCCATCCCGTCACCACCCCAAAGCCTGAAATCCCCCAAGGGCCGGGGGTGCTGGGGCAGAGCCGGGCCGGTGCCACCAGCCCTGCGCTCGCCTCCCCCCGGCACAGCCTGGCGTTCTCTCAAAATAGCTCTAGGTGCTTATTCCTGGTTGCTTGGCATTTCGAGAGCTACCTTTGCAGCTGCCTCCTGCTGCAGCTTATTTCCTCGTTTACGAATGCTTAGCTTTTTTTCCCCCTGCTCCGAGGCGAGACCTATTTTCGGCTGCCGGTGATGGCTCAGCCCAGCCCCCTCCCCAAGGGGCAGGGGGGTGCTCCCGGGACGTGCAGCCCGACGAGGCCCCCCCCGTGCACACGCACACTCATCCATACGTTATTTTAAAGTGGTGAATTAGCAGTCCATGCCCTGCATGTGTAATCGGAGGAGAATTACAGATGCACTCAGCGAAGGAGAATTTATGAATTTGTTTAAAGCGGCAGAAGGTAACGGCAGCCAATTTACCGCGGCGCGCGGCGCCGATTGGCAGGCAGCCCTCAAATCCATCCCGTGCTGACCTCTCCTCTCCTTCTCCTCCCCGCCGAGGGGATGGTGGGGGAAAGCAGGACACAAAACTGTCCCACGCGTGGTCCCCTCTGGCCCTGGTCGCTGTCAGACCCGTCCCCCTCATCATCTGGGCAAACGGGAGCGGAGTGCCCGCTCTCGCTGCGCTTTCGGGTGCTGCTGCGCCCAGGGCACGCCTGGTGCACGGGTTTTTGGGGTGCTCCTGGGAGCACGTGCTGGGCTGTTGCATTCTTGTGCACGCTCCCAAGCAGCAGGAGAACCCATTAGTCGCTACACATTACTGCAAGCACCTTCCCTTGGCCAACAGCCCGAAATTCAGGGGGTCTCCTCATCCTTCCCCTGGTTGCGGTGCCACGCACGGGGTCCCCGTGCCGGTGCTGAGCCCCCCTTCTCTCTTCTGCCTTACAGCAACATCGCCGAAGCGCTGGTGAGCAAGGGCCTGGCCACCGTCATCCGCTACCGGCAAGACGACGACCAAAGATCCTCGCACTACGACGAGCTCTTGGCCGCAGAGGCTCGGTGAGTGCCGCCGGAGCTCGGCCGCGCCGGGTGGCGGTGCCGCGGGCACGGCTGGCTCCCTTCCCGGCTCCTCTTCCCCCTTCGTGGCGCTCAGGGTGCCCTCCCTGCCCTTCAGCAGCCCTCACCCCGCGCTCAGCCCTGGCTCTGCAAGCCCCCAGCCCCGTGGAGCCGAAGCCCCCCCCGTGGCAGCCCCCTCCGTCGCAGCCCGCGCGGTGCTGGCGCGGCAGCCGGGCTCGGCGCTGGCGGAGGGCCAGGCGCGCTGTGAGTCAGTGGGAGCCGGCGCAGCGCATGTGGAATCTCCGTGCTAATGCTGCAACCCCCAGGAGGCAGATTAAAGAAGATAACATTTTTAAAAAATGCCCCGGAGGGGGTTGTTGGAGCCTCATGGCTCTGTTGTGCCTGGAGTGTGTCGGGGCACGGGGTTCTGGGGGGCCCTGTGTGGTTCCCGGGGCAGCGAGCCCACCGAGCGCTGCCGCAGCCGCCCAGCCCCAGCCTGGCTGCGGGAGAAGTAATTGCATTTAAGCCCTGTGACGTCTGAGCAGATCCAGAGGACTTCAGACACATTCTGGCCTCCCGTAATTAGGTTGAGGTTATCGTGGTGAGAAAAATGCGTGTGGCTGCTCCCTGCGCCGTGTCCTCGACAGAGGCAGCAGAAGTGCTGATGCAGGCTGGGGCTCGCTGCCGGCTCTGCTCGAGCCCGCTGCGGGGAGCGCGGGGCGCTGCGTGTGCCAGGGCGCACGCCCAGATGTGTGTGTGTGCTCCAGATGTGTGTGTGTCATCCAGATGTGTGTTTATAATCCAGATGTGTGTGCGATCCAGATGTGTGTGCGTCATCCAGACATGTGTTATCCAGACGCATCATCCTGATGTGTCTGTGTCGTCCAGATGTGTGTCATCCAGAGATGTCACCGTGATGTTTGTGTGGTCCAGATGTGCATTTTGTCCAGATGTATGGCATCCAGGTGTGCACGCTCCAGATGTGTGTGTGTGTCATCCAGATGTGCACGTATAATCCAGATATGCATGTCTAATCCCGACGTGTGCCATCCAGCTGTGCGCAATCCAGACGTGTGCAGCCCAGGCGTGCCATCCAGCTGTGCGTGTGCCAGGCGTGCGTGCTCTGGGTGTTCACCATCTAGGTGTGCTCGATCCCAGCTTGCTTGATCCATGGTCCCGATGCACACACTCTGGGCTTGTGTGCTCCAGCTGTGCACCATCCAGCTGTGCACCACCCCATTGTGCACCATCCAGGTGTGCACCACCCCGTTGTGCACCATCCAGGTGTGCACCACCCCGTTGTGCACCATCCAGCTCTGCACCATCCAGCTGTGCACCATCCAGCTCTGCACCATCCAGCTGCAAATAGTCCAGGCTTACTCATCCCATCAGCGCTCAGTCCCGGTGTGCACAGCCCAGGCGTGCCTTATCCAGCTGCTCTCCATCCTGCCCCACTTCATCCCGGTGCCACCCGCGTGGGGCTGTGTCCCTGAGCCGCCCCCGGTCCTCCCCATGCCCCCGCAGCGCCTGGCCTGGCCCCGGCTGCTCCCCGGCAGGATTTCAGCTCCTCCTCGGCAGCAGCTCCAGCCGCAGCTGCCGGTGCAGTGCCACCAGCAGGGGCGAGCAGCGTTGAGGGGGCTGCGCAGTGGTTTTTGCCAGCCCGCCGTGCAAGACGGTGCCGGGCTCTGCCGCAAGCCTCCCCTCGCAAAGAGGGGGCTGCTACCAGGCCCCGGTTCGCCCTCCTGCAGCCCCCCCCGTGCAGTGCAGGCGGCTGTGATCCGTGGCCAGCAGCTTGCTTGTGGCCTAATTGCAGCACGATGGGGATGTGCCTTGCAGAGCGGATGTGCCTGGCATGAAAGATGCATCTCGGAGCGCTCCGGCACCGAGCACGCAGCCGTGCTCCGGGCTCCAAACCTGGCCCAGGAGGCACGGGGGGGGCTGGGGCCTCTGAGCAAGCGGGGTTTGGAGCAGGGATGAGCTTGGAGCAGGGCTGAGATTGGAGCAGGGCTGAGCTCAGAGCAGGGCTGAGCTCAGAGCAGGGTTAAGCTCGGAGCAGGGATGCGCTCGGAGCAGCTCGTGCTTCGGTGACGGTTGCTCGGGGCTTGTAAAAATCCTTCCAAGTTCTCGTCTTGTTAGCAAAGCCTGGAGTTGTGTCTGCCCAGGCTGAGCTGCTGGAGCCTGCTCTGCCCTTCTGGGGTTATTTGGGAAGGGGGTGGTCGGTGTCCCGCTCCCACCAGATTTTGGGGGTTCGTGGACATCGCTCTGCACCCCACAGGATCCCCTGGAAAAACCTACGGTCGCAGAAACTCTGCAAGCAGCTGCTGAAGAAATCCTGTCCCCTCCTCCTGGAGCTCTCTGCTCCCCAAGGTGTGGTTTTCATCCATCCCTGCCCCAAATGCATGGGGGCTGCACGTCCCCTTCCCTGCCCCAAATGCCCTCGGGAGGGTTTCCTTGGGCCCTCTGGGAGCTGGTGATGGTGGCCCTGGGGACACGGAGCTCAAGCAGGAGGGGACATCAAGGCACAAGCCCCAAGGGGCTGCATCCCCGGTTGCCCTTGCTGGGCTTTACAGGGCTTGCTTGACTTTGTCCCTCTTCTAAAGCTGGGGAAGGAGCTGTTTCCCTATAAAAAAAAAGCCGGTTATTCCCGAGCCACTTATCCCTGGGTGCAGCGCAGAGCGGGGAGGGGTGTCTCGAAGCAGGGAGGGGGAGAGAAGAAGAAATCCTTTTGCTGATTTATCAGGTTGCCTTCTTCCAGACAGCTCCTCGAGTCATACAGCTCAGCAAATTGATTGCTGTACAAAGCCTCAGCAGGGCCTTTGAGTTTTCTCCCCGTGTTATTTTTATTATCATCGCTGTCCACTCGGAGCGGATCCGTGCCTCTTGCCTGGGAGCAGCTATTAGGTCGCTGGCGGGCGGCTGCGCAACGAGGCGCTGCGACGCCCGCAGGCGGGGGCTTGCGGAGGGTTCCCTGCTCGAGTTATGGGAAGGAAGGGCACGGAGCAGCTTTATCCACGGGGATAAAACGTGGAAAAAGTGCAGCCACCACGCTGCGCCCACGCTGGGACGTGCACGGTGCAGGAGTGCCGGAGCCAAGGAAGCTCCAGCTTGGGGATGAGCCCGAATCACTGAGGGGGCTGCAAACTGGAGCTGTGGGCGCAGCGAGGGTTGGTTTCCAGCTGGATTCACCCTGCCTGCTGCCAACAGCCATCACCCCAAACCGAAAACAGCCCCGGCCCCGAAACGCCAGGTTTGGGGCTCATGTGCTGGCACCGGGCGGCACCGCGCCGTGCCGAAAGGCAAGGCGGCATCTCCGGGTGTGTTTTGTTCTGTGTGCACCTGGAAAATAAACGTGGCCTTTGCAGGCTGGAAAAGGACGGAGCTGTCAGGGGAAGGAGCCGTTTGCAGCTGTAATGAGTGCGCGCTGCCCTTCCACCTGCCGCCGCGCTGCCCCCCTGCCTGTGCCGCGCCAGGCAGCCGCGTCTGGGGGCACCGCTGCTGCTCCTGCGTGCGGCGATAAGCCCAGCAGCAGAACCACGTCGGGGTCCCCTCGGGGCCCTGGGGTGGCTGCCCCTGCTGTCCCCCCCGGCTGCGCAGTGGCCGACCGGCTCTGGCTGCATTTGGAGCTTGCCTTTGGCTCCTGAGGAGAGGGACCCGGGGGTGCTGATGGGTGGGAAACGCAGCACGAGGCGGCACGGTGCGCACGCAGCCGGACCCTGCACCCCCCCAACCACTCCGTGCTGCTCCCAGCTCTGCAGCCCGACCCCGACCCCCTCGCTGTGGTTTTGGGCACCTCTGCCTCGTGGGTGCTGCTGCGTTACCTCCTCCCCGCTGCAGTCACCGCTCCAGTATTCGCGAGGGATGCGCTTCCTCCGCGTCCGGAGCCACCAAGAGCCCTGCGCCCCCATTTCCCCATGTCCCGCATGTGGGATCCCGGCTGTCGGGGTTCAGGGATGGAAAACGTGGGTGGGGATCTTGTGGGGAGTCCTGGGGACCAGCTCCAGGGCCCCGCTCATTTCCTGACCATCCACTGGTGCCATGAGCGGTGTCGCTTCATTCCGGCTGCTTCCCGAATGCATTTGGGTAACGTGGAAGGAATGTAATGCCTTCAGAACGGGAGCATTTGCTGCATATTTTGCATTTTAAATAGTTTGTCTGATGAAATGCTGAAAAGAAACAGGTATTAACTTTGGCTTGGGCTGGGGCGCTCTCCTTCCCGTCCCTTCCCCACTATGTGCAGGGAGCAAAGCCATGAAATTTGGTGACGGGGACACACGCTCCCCCTGACCGGGTGGGTGCTGGGCCTGCTGGATGCCACTAATTGGGATTAGAGGCTAACGAGCCAGCTGGCCACTCCGCAGGGACATTGGGGGACAGCGGGTGCACGGGGGGACGGCATGTCACCCCCTCTCCGCGCCAGGCGCTGATGGCACGTGCCACCTCTCTTTTGCAGGGCCATCAAGAACGGCAAGGGGCTGCACAGCAAGAAGGAGGTGCCCATTCACCGAGTGGCCGACATCTCCGGGGTAAGGACCCTGCCCTCACAAATCACATTTCCCCTGGGGTTCCTCCTCTCTGCGGGGAGCTCTCACCCCTTGCCCTGTGCCTGGGTGGCTGCGGGCTGGGTCTGGCTCCGTGCAGGGCTGCAGGAGCATCCCCAGGGGCTCTGCTTCCAGCTGGAGGTGGCCTTGGTGTCCTGCGTTTGGTGCCCAACCCTCAGGATGGTTCCTGGTGTCCTTGGGGGGGCAGGAGCTCTGTCTGGGGGACACCACCATGCCCCTGCTGCCTCTTCCACCAGCCCCCTCTTACCCTGAGTCTCTTGGGGCCCCGGCAGCATCCGTGGCTCTTCAGAAATTGTGATGGGTGAGCGCAGGGACGCGGGTGCAGGGATGTCCCCTCTCCGAGCTGTGCCGGGCGCACGAAGCCCCCGAGGTGCGCGGCGCGGGGTTGTTAGCGGCCCCGTAACTCAATCAGGGAGGCGAGCAAAACGGTTGGTTCCGGCCGGGAGGCGGAGGAGGGGAGGGCCCCTGCAAACAAAATTAGGGTAATACATCACCGCTTTTATGAAGATTTGTTAATCTTTTTTAATCTTTAATAGTTTTCTGTAAATTGATCCCGCTCCGAGTTAGGCGAGTGTCAGCAGTTGTGCGGCATGATGAATGCGGGCGCGCACTGAACTGACAGGGTGTGCTTTAGCACTGCCAAAATAATTTAATGGGAATTAGCGTCGCCGCTCCCCTCCCGCTGCCCGGGCTCGGGGAGGGGGGCCCCCTCTCGCTCCGGCTGCAGGCAGGATGCTCAGGCAGCGCGCGGGGATTTCGGGGTTTTTTCAATGTAGGTCACCCGCGGCCCCGGCTCCCTCCTCGCACCGATTCGGGCGTCCGTGAGCGCGGGCGTTTGCTTTTCATCCTGTCCGTGCCACGTGGGGCTGAGCCCCCGGTGGGTGGCTGTGTTCTGGTGAGCTGGGATGTCCGGGGGGGCTGCTGGGGGTCCCTCCACCTGGCCCCATCCCGATGCTGTGCGTAATGCAGCGGTGCAGCACCGGCACCGTGTCCCGCTCCGTGCCGCTGCACCAGGGGGCTCAGCCCCATCCCCGTCCCGTGGAGCTGCTGCATCCCGGCTCTGCTTTGCCCTGGCTCCCAGCACGAGGCTCACGGGACCTCATTTGGCCACAGGCTGCCGGATTTCACCCAGTTCCCCCAGCTCCAGCCCGTGCTCCTCCTGCTGGGAAATGCCCTTTCCCCATCGGGTTGTGGCCACCCTGGTGTCCCCTGTCCCCCATGTCCCAAACCAGGGGAGAGGGGGGGGCTCCGAGCGCACCCCAGGGGCGCACCTGAAGCAGCCTCCCTCCAGATGAGCCCGCGGTGCTGCAGGCTGCACGGAAAGCAAAGGCAAAAGGCAAAAAGAAAAAAAAAAAAAAAGCAAAGAGGGAAGCTGCAGCAGCGCTGATAATGCCGCCTCGCCCACGCTCGCCTCTGCGGTGGCCTCCTTTGCAGTGCCGCTGCTGGGCGAGGTTTGCTGCTCTCTGGAGACCCCCGGGTGCTCCGGTCAGCAGGGGCCGTCCTGATGTCTGTCTGTCCGTCCGTCCTGCCCCAGGCTGGTGTTGCTGGCTTGCTTCTTCAGCCAGGAGAAACGGCGTTGGCCGGGCGCATCGGCGTTCCCATCGCTGGCACCCAAGCTCAGCGGGGTGCAGCCGCGTTCCCAAAAATCCCCCGAGCACCCCGCGAGCTGATCCCACGACTCCAACCTTGGCAGCCCCCCTGCTGCCACCCCAACCACCTCCCCTGGTCCCACCCGGGGACATTTCGGGGGCTCAGTGCGTGGGGATGCGCTCGGGCAGCCCCTCTCCCTCATCCTCCCTCTTCCTCATCCTCCCCTCGGTGCAGCGGGGAGAGGTCGGCTCTCCTTCCTCCCCCTTCCCGGCATCCAGCCGGGCTCACGGGCACCTCAAAGCAGCGCGGTTCTGCTCCGGAGCAGCTCGTTAAATAATTCAACCCGTGCAAGACAAACCTGCACCAGCTCAACCTCTCCCCTTACACCGCGCGCGCTCCGGCACGGGCACGAGGGCGAGCGTGCGGCCGCCTGGAAGCCTCCCGTCCTTGGGCAGAGTCCTTGAATAATTTTGCATAATTGGCAGCGCTTCACATAAAAGTGGAGTTACGAGGATATTTTTCCTCGCTGTATTTATGCATAATTTTCCTTCGATTCCCAGCTAATTAAACGCTGGAAGCGTTAAAATAATAGTGGGGACGGGGAGGGGGACGGGGGGGTGGCTCCTGCCCTGGGGGATGAGCGGGGCTGGGGTCCCTGCTCCGTGGGGAAGGGGCAAAAGGTGTGGGGTGAGGATGATGAGGGGGGATGAGGGACAGGATCCTGCCTGGCTCTGGTGCCATCACTCCCCTTCCCCATCCGAATTTGTGCCGAGCAGCCCAGTGTCCGCAGCGCTGCGGGTGGGGGGCTGCGAGGTTTTGGGGCTGGGAGCCCTGACCCCGTGCAGCTCCTGGGGTCTGCAGCCCGGGGGGAGTCCCGGGGGGGTTGCAGGAGCAGGAGGGGGCATTGGCAGAGCCGAGCTGGCCCTGGCCGAGCTGGCACAATGTGGTAGCTGGGAGAGGCGAGCGGGGTGGTGTGTGCTTGGAGCAAGCGCAGGGTGCAGGGGGAGGCTCCACGTGCAGGGAGAGGATGGGATTTAGGAAGGAAGGGATTTAGGAAGGAAGGGATTTAGGAAGGAAGGGATTTAGGTGCCGAGACTAGACCATGGGGCTCAGAAAGCAATCTTTGCTAATTTAGGTGCCCTGGGGGGTGTTGCGGGTGCCCCCCATCCCCTGGAAGCCGCTCCCCAGCTGCAGCGCCGTGCTCCAGCCGGCCCCGAGGTGCCCACAGGGTGCCCCCGGCGGAGGATGCTCCGTGTCCGTGTCCGTTCCTCCCGCCTTCCTCCTGCAAAGGACGCGCGGCGTGTCCTTCAGCGCGCTGCCACCGGCTGGGCTGGGCGGCCGCGAGCTCTGCAGCAGCTGCTCCCGTCCCAAAGGCCACCAGCCGCGGCGTCACGCGCCCGCCGCTGCCACCGTGCCGGGCTGGATGTGTGTCCACAGACATGGGCATCCCGTGGCAGTGCCCATCCTGCCTGGCAGCACCCAAGGTTTCCTTCCCAGGGGTGCTGTAGCTCTGGGTGCCCGTGCCAGGAGGTTCGGACACATCCCCAATCTCCTTTTCCTGTCCCAGCCGTGGTGCGCACCCTGATGCCCTCGCAAACTCCCCCATCAGATTCCCTGCTCCCATCCCACTGAGCGCATTTTTTGGCAGTGGTGCTGTCTGGAGGGGAACAGCAGAGGGGGAGCACTGTGGTGCAGGAGGTGGTCTCGGTACCCCCAGCGTTTGGTGCTGCCTCCCCGTGTCCGTGGTGCAGGCGGGGGTCTCGGTTTGGTGCTGCAGCCCCGTGCCTGAACCCGGTCTCTCTCCTCCTGGTACCATGGGGGCCCAAACCTCACCACATTCCATTTTGGCGAGCGAGGAAGGATCTGGAGCAGCTCAGATAAGCACGGGCTGAGCTCCAAGCAGCGCAGATCCCCCTGAATCAGTGGATCCCCAGGATCAACCAGCCTCTCCCCGCTGCCCTGGCACGGCGGGGACCGAGCCGTTACCCGGCACTCCGGTGCCTCCGCTGCCGCGCGGTGACTGCCGCTCCCCACTTATTATTCCACATTAACCACCAGCGCCTGCACGCCTCTTCCCTTCTTGCGGAAGAGCTGCTTTGTGTTATGCAAAATCCTGCTGGATTTTTAAGGTCATCCTCCAGCACGTTCGAACACCGCCGCGCCCCACGGATGCCGGCGGCGGCAGGCGCGCAGGTGCCAGGCCCGCAGGCATCCTCGCCGCCGCGCTCTTCCTCACCGCCGCGCTCTTCCTCGCCGCCCCACCGCCCTCCCCGGGGCACGGGGGGCTTCCCCACCTGGCACCTGTGGGACGGAGCTGCCGGTGGGCTCCTTCACGCCGCTCGTTTTTTCCCTCGGCTAATCAAATCGTGACTGCATAGTGATTACCGCTAATTAGTAGCCTTCATTAGCGGCTCCCATTTTAGATTTGCATATGTTCGACCTAAGTGGTTAACATGGGGTAATGTGGTTTTCCTTTGCGTGCAGATTGCACTTACATGTGTTGCATTAACTTCTTGACTGCACATCTGCTGAGCGCCCTCCCCGGGCCCGTGCGGTGCCCGTGGCGCACGCGGCGCGGAGCCACCCGGCGTCGAGCGCCGCGGCCACACCACAGCGGGACCTGGGGGCGTCTCTGCCCCCCCCCTGCCCTGCCACAACCCCAGCAGCAGCCACCCCTGCTCCCACCGTAGCCCCACAGACCCACATCCCTTCCCTCCCCACGGCGCCGTGGTTCAGGCGTGGATGCTGCAGCTGCCGGCACAGCGTGGCCGTGCTCCTTTGGGTCCGGGTTCGGCGGAGGAGGCGCGGGGTTTGGGCTGTGGCAAGCTCCCTCCCTTCCCTCCGCAGCTCATTTTTCTAAATTAAGGCCGGAGTGAAATACAAAGCCACCTGGCTGTGTTTTATTTTAGGAGCTGCTTGGCTTTGACTTTTCTTCCCCGGGTGAATAAATCAGGAGCTCGCGGCACGGCGAGCGCCGTGCCTCCGAAACGCGCCGGTGGCGGCGATCTCGGCCGAGGCCACAGCTTCAAAGTGGGTGGGGGGCTCCGTGAGCACTGAACCCAAATTGTTCCCGAGCTACTTAGCATGGATCCAGCCCTTTTGGGTGGACAGGACTGATGGGAGGGGGTCCTGCAGGGCGCTCCGTCAGGATGGGGCAGGATCCGGTCTCCTTCCCTTGCCGATTTTGGGGCCGTGGGTACCAGCGAGGGGAGGGCGCAATGTGCTGGAAGCCACCCGAGCTGTGCCCACTCCCCATATGGGGTTGGGGGGGGGGCTTAAAACCTTGTCCCCAGAGCACCAGTGCCAAGGGGGGGGCTGTGGGAGCGGCGCGGCGCGCTGACCCCCCTTCTCTCCGCAGGACACCCAGAAGGCGAAGCAGTTCCTGCCCTTCCTGCAGCGCGCCGGCCGCTCCGAGGCCGTGGTGGAGTACGTCTTCAGCGGGTCCCGCCTGAAGCTCTTCATGCCCAAGGAGACCTGCCTCATCACCTTCCTGCTGGCAGGTGAGCCACCGCGCCGTGCCACGCCGGGGACGGCTCCGGGGACACGCACGGAGCTCCCCAAAAGTGCCTCTGCCCCCTGCATCCCGTCCCCTGCTGCTGGGGCGCACGAGGGTTTAATTGAGCGGGGCAGCACTAATTGGAGCTGGCTGGATATTGGTGCTCCTGGGGTGCTTGTCCTTGCCCTCTCCCCGAGCTCAGATTTGGGGCTGGGAGGCTGGGATTTGGGAGGTTCCTGCACGTTTTGGCATTGCTGCTGCTCTCCCTCCTGCGTCCCCGGGGGTGGCACCTGGGCTGTGCCCACTGCTGGGGGACAGGGGTGGGGAAGCTGAGATGCTTCGCCCCGGAGTTGTGGTGCACCAGGAGGGTGCACGTCGTTGTGTGCACGTGGTGGTTGTTCTGGTAGGTCCTACAAAAACTGCAGAGCTCCCCCTCCAAAACGGTCCCGCTTGCAGTGCGCGGTGCCACCAGGGCTCAGCCTCCTTCGCCGGCACATCGCAGCCGTCCTTCACCCCGTGGCCATGCTCCAGGCAGCGACGTGTGGCTCCAGGAGGAGGTCAAGGAGGATGAGGAGGGTGAGGAAGGCCGCGGGGCAGCTCGCGGAGCCCCGGCAGCCCGTGCCGCGTGCTCGCGGTGCCTCCATGGGAGCCGATGTGGGGCGGCTTCGCTCTGGCTCCGGTTTCTATGGCAATAACCGCGTAGAAAGGATGACCCTGAACGCTGATCGTTCACAACTCGGTTATGAAAAATTCAATAAGCGTATAAATAGATCGTATACGGGGATAACAACGCCGCGGCTGCTGTAAGCAACGGCTCCTGCCGCTCCCACCCGAGGGGTCTTCCCCTGGGGACGGCGCTGGGACGGTCCCCGGCTGTCCCGTTGCTCCCGGAGATGTGCGGGTGCTCGCTGAGCCTGGGCTCCCCCAGAGCCTCCCCTTCCCTTCTGCTGGGGCTTCTGAGAGCGATTTTGGAGCAGGAGGGACCGTGGCAGGTCCGGGAGCAGCTCCCAGAGCCCCGCACACACGGGCACTGCCCCTGCCTGTGCCCCGGCTCCTTGTCCCCATCCCCTTGGGCCACCCCGCTGCAGGACGCGGCCACCCCAGCGGCCACTGCTGCCCCGCTGCCCTCGGGGGACCAAAAACCCCACGGCGATGCCATGGGATGTCACACAGCTCGACGTGGTGCGATGGCACACGATGGCACACGGTGGCACAATGTCACACGACGTGCCGTGATGTCCCACCATGCGCTCCCGGCGGTGGCACGTCCCCGCTGCCACCCGGAGGGGGGAAAGGTCCCCAGCCCCGCTCTGCCAAGGGCGCAGGATCGGGGGCCCCCCCCGCGCTCCCGGCTGGCTCCTGCCGCGTGGGAAGCGCGTCCTAAACCTGTCCTTCTCCTTGCGCTGGTGCGTATAAATAGGCGCGCTGCCTTATTTATAATTAACCATTCTTAAAGTCAGCTGCAAAAGACAGGGAAATGAGACTCCCCCTTGCCTGCGACTGATACATTAAAATTTGAAGAAGCGATAAAACTCCCACGTGCTCGGGAGGAGGAATTTCGTTAGGTTTAAATATTTCTCTTGCGGCAGGCAGGCTGCCGGCGGGCTCGGCTGCGCTTCGCATGCGGGAATCCCGACGGCTGCCTCCGAGCGCTCCCTGCACACCAGGGGCCGGGGAGGGGGCACGGGACCCTCACTCCCACTCCTTGCGTTGCCATTTCCTTGAAAATTTGTGATTCCCGGCCCTCATGCACATCCTTGCCTCTTCCTCCTCATGTTGGTGCTGCTGGATGCGTGCACGGGGCTGGCACACCCGAGCCATGAGCTCAGCTCCGCACCGCTGCGGCAATAAAACCCTTCCCTTGGCGAGGTCGGGGGGCTCCTGTGGGCCTGGGGGGGCACGGCGGTGGGATTCTTGGGGTGCTCCCATCCCTTCCTATTGCCATCCCACATCTCATTCCCGGCCCCTCGCTGCAGGTCAGGGGCTCTGGCTTGGTTGGGTGGGTTTTAAATCAAATGGGAGCAGGCGGGGGGGGGGGGCGCTCCGGCGGCCGGGCGATGGATGGATGGCTCCGGGGGGAGCGCGCTCGCTGCAAGTTATATTTAATCCCCGTTGCTGTGGAGACCGACGGGCTGTCGCCTTGCTGGGGGTGCCCGGGCTCCGAAAAGTTCCCAAAGTCGTGACCCTCCCCCGGCACAGGCGGCCCCGAGCCCCCGCAGGGTCCCCGGAGCCCTGGGGGTGCCGCTGCGCTCAGGGTGCGCCGCTCGCCTCCTGCCGCGGCTGAGTCACCCCGGCCACCTCCCTCGCCACCTCCACATTGCCCTTCGGCAGCCAGCTCAATTAGAGGGCTGGGAATAACGAGCTGTGGGGTGGGGGGGGGATGTCACCACCCTGCGAAGCAAGGGGCCGGGCTGGGAGTGAAGGTTTTGGGGTGTTCGGTGCCGTGTGGGCGCCGTGTCCCCGGGGGAGATGTGGGTGCGCACAGCAGCGTCTGCATCCACGCTGCACGGGATCACCCCAATTTGCCCAGGATCACCCCAATTTGCACAGCATCACCCCAATTTGCACAGATTCACCCCGTGCTGCCCATCCCAGAGCCTCAGCTGCGCCGGGCTCGTGGTGCTGCCAGAAACACTCACGGGTGCTCCCCGGTCCCCTCCTGATCCCCGTGGCACCAGGGATCTGCAGTTCTTCCTCCTCCCGGCACCTCTCCGGGGACACTTCCCCAGCTCCAGCTCTCTAATCAACCCGTAGACATTAATTACAGGCTAAAGAGGCAAGGTAGAGTGCCAATTAGCGTGGAAGACAACGCGCCACCTCTGCTGGGGAGGAGGGGGGCAGGGGTGACCCCGGTGAGGGTGGGAGGCTCCGCAGGACCCAGGGGTGGGAGGTGGGAACGGGAATTCCCCAGCACCCCTTGGCACGTGCCGGCACCCGATCACCACCACGCCTGCTGTGCTTTCCCTGTCCTTCCACATATTAATTAGAGCTGCGTAATTAGGACTGCTTGGCAGCCTCCTCGCCCCGGCCCACCCCCGGCAGGAGCAGAGGGTCCCCTGTGGCCACCCCCGAATCCCAAACGGGCGCTCCCTCCTCGCTCCCGGCGCCGGGAAGTTAAACCTTCCCCACTGCGTAAGCCAAACTCGGTTATCGAAGCATCCCCGCCCCTAATGAGCCCCGTGCAGCCTGATCAATTAATTATTCAGCCGAGCAGCTAACGAAAGGCCAGGCGGCTGCGGGGGCTGGCGGCTTCCCAGGCCAGGGATTTCGGCACGGAGAGGGGGGATGCAGCGAGCTCAGGGCCAGGGCATGAGGCTGCAGGGGCCAAATTCGCTCCCAGCCGTGCCACGGGGAGGGCCCAGTGCCGGTGATCCTTCTGTGCACCACCCGCGCTTTGACAATTTTGACAAATTTGGCAATTTGTTTTCTTTCCCTGGCTGCTGGCACGGCACAACCGGGGCACTGGTCCCAGCACCACAACCGGGGCACTGGTCCCAGCACCACAACCAGGGCGCAGGTCCCAGCATCGCCCCCGGGGCTGCTGCATTGCCCCGTTGGCTAATTGCCGAAGTAATTGCCTCGTAAAATAATGAGAGACGAGGGGCATGGGGCGGCAGCGAGCCAGGGTGGGCTTTCCCCGTGCACACACACTCCTTTTTTTTCCCGTTTCCTTCGGTTTTGGCAGGAGCCGCTGCAGGATTTCTCCTCTCAGCGCGGCGCTGCCGCAGCCGGAGCTGCCCCGGCCCCGCTGCCCGGGGGGCGTGGGTTTTGTCCCAAAAACGGGACAAATCCTCGCGATTCCTCAATTTTTAATTCCTTCATTTTTAATTTTTTTTTTAAAGTCAAATGCAAATGAGCATCGTGAAGCGAAGACAGGTCCCCTGTCAATGTGACTTTCGGGGATGTTCTCCAGGGAGCCTCACGCCGTCTTCCCAGCTAAAATATAGACGTCGGCGCGCTATAAATATGTGCAAATACAGAGGCACTAATTTAATCCCGCGCTCCGCTTCCCCAGCGAGACTCCGGAGCCTGACGCCGCCTTCGGGGTGCGGGGGCCCCGCGGCAGCGCCAGCGGGGAGGGATCCAGCAGAGGGGGGGGGGGGCTCACCCCGAAGCTCCTGCGCCCCGGCACGGTGCTGTCAGCGCGCAGCAGGGCGCAGAGGGTCGGGGCCCTAAATCGTGCCGAGGCGACAGCGCGGCGCCGTATTTACGAGGTGGGGTGGGGGTCACGGTGTTTATCTGTGCTGGGGGGGCTGAGTTGCAGCTGATACCCCCCTGGCACGGGTTTCGCCCCCACCTCAGCGTGACATCTCCTGTTGGAGTGGCCGTAGCTCACCGGTGACACCGTGGGATGTGGGGTCCCCGTCTGGGCGCTGCGGGGTCTGGGGGACATCAGCCCGTCTGCAGCCCCACTGTGTCAGGGTGTGTTGGTGATTTTAGGGGAAAAAGGGCAAAAATGAGGTTTCTCCCTGAGCTGCAGGGCACGGCTGCAGCCTGCAGAGGTTGCGCACGCTCCAGACACACCATGGGTGGCACGGGACTGGGGACACCCCGGAGCCCTTCCTAGCTCCATGCCCCGTGATGCCTTCTGGCAGCTGATGCATTTTTACCCGATTTTTGGCTTTTCCTCATTTTTTTGTCTCATGTGGGGCTGCACAGCCACGGGGTGGAGCTGGGAGCTGAGCCCCGAAATGGCAACCCCAAATGCTGTGGCCCCGCAGCGTCAGGATGCGGTGACCCCAGGTGCTGCAGGTGTGTGGGGTTGGGATGTGGTGACCCCAAATTCTGCAGGTGTGTGGGGTAGGGATGTGGTGACCCCAAATTCTGCAGGTGAATGGGGTGAGGATGCAGTGACCCCAGATGTTGCAGGTGTGCAGGGTGGCAATGCGGAGACCCCAAATCCTGCAGATGTATGGGCTATATGGGATATATGGGCTGTATGACCTGATGGTTCTATGGGATATATGGGCTATATGGGATATATGGGCTGTATAAGCCTTATGGACTGTATGACCTGATGGTTTTCTGGGATATATGGGCTGCACAGGCTGTATGGGATGCAGGAGCTGCATGGGATGTAGGGGCTGCACAGGCATTCTCCCATCCCCATCAGACGAGTGCCCCCAGCCCCTTTTTATCTCAGATCCTCTTATAACGGGGCCATCATCACCCCCTGCACCACTTTGCTCCTCACAACCCAGGGTCCAAGAAGTGGGATCCCCCCAGCACCCTACAACCTGCCCCTGCACCCGGGCAGCGCGGGTTTCTCTCTCCTGCCACCGTTCCTGGCGGCACCGTGCCACACCGGGGGTCCCCGGCCGTGCCCCCCACCCGGGCTGCGGATGGCGCGATTGGGGCTGCGCCCGGCCGCCCCCCCGCCTCCCCGCTGCCGTCTGTTTCCCTGTTCCCGACAGCCTCTATTTTGGTAGGGACTGGTGTTAAAAATAACGCCGCGCTCCCACACGGGCTGCGCGGCAGCAGCCAAGTTGCCATCACGACTCGAGGCCGCCGCGCGTGCCAGTGCCGTGGGCACCGCCTGCACCGGGACGCCAAGGCTCGGGCACGGCGCACGGGAAGGGAGGGGACGGCGGCGTCACCAAGCGTCCCCGGGGGGCCCCAGCTCTGCGCCCCCCCTGGAGCAGGGCACGTGCGTCGTGTCAGGATCCAGCCCCGAACCTCGCGTCCTTTTCGTGCACCGAGGTCTTGGCGCGGGGCTTCAACATTCAGGTCTCGCTCCTGCGCTGCCCGCAATTACCGGGCGGCTCCGTTCCGGTGACTGATGCTCCCGCGCGGCTCCTGTCCTCCCTTCTGCTCGCCTTTTCTATTTCTCACAGCCCCTGTAAATCCTGCCGGAGATCAATCTCAGCCATTCGTCAGTGGCAGAAGTGCTCCAGGCAGGAGCACGGGGCGCCGAGACCTCACGCCGCTGCCGCTGCCTCGCCGTGCCGGTGGGGAAGGCGACGGCGCGGCGAAGGGAAGAGGGGGCGCACTGGGGAGGTGCCTGCCCCTCTGCTGCCCGTGCTGGTGCCATCACCAAATTTTATTTTGCACCCATGGGGCAGCTGTTGAGGGATGTGCCGGGTTAGTTTTCATGCGCCCCTAAAGCTCTGTCCGACACCGTTCCAAGCTGATGCCCCATCGCATCTCCCCACGGCTTGGGGGGCGCACGGGGGTCTTTGAAGTGTGATGCTTGTCCCCAGCCCTTGCCCTCCTCCTGTCCCCACATGGCTGTGGGGACAGGGATGGGGTCGGAGCAGCCCCCAGCCCCCTGCCCTGGCCGCCCCCATCATTGCCATGCCCCAGCCGTGGTTTGCTGCCCGGCGGCGCTGAGCAGAAGTGATTTGTAGCCGAGTTATTTCGGGACCCCGGGGGAAAGCAGCGGCAGCCGCACGCTGCAGTGTTTTAAACTGCATCCCTCATCTGCGCAGATTAATACATTACGGCTCCCCGGGAAGAGCATCAGAGCCGCGTCTTCAGGTTTATTTAGTTTTCTCAAGAGCCGTGCAACTTTGATGGCCGTGCTCACATCTCTGCCGGGTGTCCCCCTCCCCGTGCCGCGCGGCGGATGCGTCGTGCTGGGGTTGGGCGCGCTCATCGCATCCCTCCTAGGTGCCTTTTTTTTTTTTCTTTTTTTCCCCCAAAAGCAGGCTTTGCTCGTGTGGTTTCAGGAGGCGTCAGGGGCTCTGAGCGTACCCAACGTGGCACCTGGTGCAGGGTGCAGGGCTCGTGCATGCAGCTCTCAGTGGGGCCCCCCCCTTGAAGCCCGCGCCGGGCTGCGGCAGCGCCGCGCTCCTAATTGGTGTTTGGGGTTTAAGCACTTGGACACTTCCTCGGCTGCTGCTTCACATCACTTTCTGCACAAAAAGCATCTTTTCGCCGCTGTTGGAGGCTGCTAGCGCACAGCCACGGCTCCCTCCCCCCCCAGCCCCTGCTCCCTGCGCAGAGGAGGAGGAGGAGGAGGAGGAGGAAGGGCGCCAGAATCCTCCTGGCGAAGGCAGGAGCCCTGGCGAGCACCTCACACCGATCTCACGTGTGCCCCCAAATGGTGCACGGCGCACAAGGGGGGGTGCACACTTGCTCACGTGCCTGCCCCCACACCCCCCCCCCACGCCCGGGGAGCCCCCTGGGGCCGGGCTGCCGGTGCTCAGCTCGCTGACGAAGCCGCTGGATCGCCCACTCTCCCCACCCCGAGTTCTGCTGCCTTTACAGAAATCCTCTGTTCCTACCCCGTTTTTTTGGGGCAGGGGGTGCGGATGCTCCAGCGGCTGCTTCGGGTACCAGGATAGGGCTGGGGGCACCCCTCGTTTTGGGGTGCCTCCTGGGGGGGCTGGCAGCTGGCTGCTGCATGTCACCACTGCCAAACTCCTGCCAGACTGCCTGGAAATGTTTTGCTTCCCTTGGAGACAGCACGGAGGAGAGGGGGGGGAGGGAAAAAGAGGGGAAAAAAAGGCTTTTTTGGCTGCCACCCTGCTCCAGCTCTGCAGTCGTGGGGATGGCGAGGGTGGGAGGCAACGGGGTGGGGATGGGATGGGGATGGGGATGGGATGGGATGGGATGGGGATGAGGATGAGGATGAGGATGAGGATGAGGATGAGGATGAGGATGAGGATGAGGATGAGGATGAGGATGAGGGTGAGGATGAGGATGAGGATGGGGTAGGAACGCACATATTTTCTCGGAGCAGATGCCCCCCCCTGGCCCAGCAAACCCCAGGGAAGGCCGGGGGAGAGCCAGGGACGCCGGTGCCCTCCCCTGCAGCCTCCCGCAGCCCCCTCCTCGCCCATCGTGGCCCACGGTGCCGAGGTTTAATTTCGAGTGATTCAAATCACCGCTTTTAATCGCCAGCGAAATCAGCGAGCAGGAAACCTTGATTTAAGTCGGCGCTTCTCATCGCACCCCCCCAGCCCCAGCCTCCCAGGGGCTGCGCTCCCCTCTCGCTGGGTGGCTGCTGGCTCCCCCCCCGTGGCCCGTCAGCACTTGGTTATGGTGTGGGAGCAGAATTTTGGAAGCCTGCGTGCCAGCAGTGCTGGGTGCCACGGTCCCCCCCCCCGTGCCGGGACAGCCCCGTCCCCAGCTGTTGCGGTGCTGGTGCCAGGGTGTTGTGGGGTGGCTCTCGGACCCCACAGCACCCTCCCTGCACCCCGGCAGCACGGTCCTGCAGGCTGAGCACCCCCGATGGCTCCCGGGGCCGTGCCGTGAGCTGGGGCTCTGCGCTTTCCCGTTATAGACCGACGGGGTCGGGCAGCCGCTAAATGTAACTCCTGGCACCTCATTAATAGCAAATTATGGAAAATAAAATTAATAATGCAGCACTTCCCCGGTTAATAACCTGCGCCTCTGTGGCTGCGGAGCAGCCTGGCTCGGGGAGCGCGCTGCACGAGGGGACCCCGGGGCTCTCACCCCGCTCCGCACCTGGGGAAACCGAGTCGGGGAGCGGCGGCTGCGCCGTGGTGGCTCCAGGTTGTGGTTTGGGGTGGTTTGGGGCTGGGGCACGTGGGGCACAGCCCGGCCTCTGCGCCGAGCCAGAGAGACAGCCCTGCAGCACTCGGCCTCTTCCTCTCCCCTCTTTTTTATTTTTTTATTTTTTTTCAGTATTTCAATTCCCGGCGATGGCTGCCGAGATTGGGGGGTAGGGCTGGTGCTTGACCTGCCCGCGCGGCTGTAATAATAGGGCAGAATTAATACCTGCTTATCAGGAGCTCTCAGCCAGCGCTATCGTGCAGGCGGCGATTAGAGGTAATGGGAGCAGCCTGGAATTAGGCTCGGTGCTCGAGGCAGCCGGGGCCGTCCCCCTCCGGCGCAAAGCAGGGGACGGGGACAGGGGCGCAGCACTACCCCCAGCCTGTGGGCTCGTCACCGAGCCCCCCGCACTGCCAGCTCCCCCCTGACCCAGCCCAGGGGCTGTCGTGGGCTCTGCATGGATCCCTGTGCCCACCAGCTGGGGGTTTTGGGGGTTCTGGGGGGCCAGGGGGTGTTACGGTGCGCCTAGGCTGGAGGTGGCACCGCTGGTGCCATGGTGAAGTCTTTGCGCGCTGCCTTCCTCCACCAAGTGTGCACTTCGGGTTGTGCCCCCAGCCCTGCCTTGCCCAGTGATTATTTAGGATTTGTGCAGGGAGCAGCTCCCTGGTGTGGGGTCTTCGCAGCCCCCTTGGGTACGTGGGGTGCCCCCGTCCCACCCCACGATGAGCCGCCGGCAGCCCCGCAGCCAAGCCCGGTGCCAGGCGGGGAGCAGCGAGGCCTGGCACTGCTCTGGCTGCGCCGCGTGGAGCCGGGGAATCAATTTTCATTTCCTCGCCCATATAGTTTTACAGCCCGTGAAGCTGCACGAGCCCTGCGGCCGCCGTAAAGGGAAGGAGCAGCGCTGCTGCCAACCGAGAGCCCGAAGCCACCGGCCGCGTGCCACGCGCGGGGTTGGCGCAGCCACCGGGCCACCGGGGGTGGGCGCACGGGTACATGGCAAGCCCCCTCCCAACATCTCCCTCTCCCCCTGCAGGTATCGAGTGTCCCCGTGGAGCCAGGAACCTGCCGGGGCTGGTGCAGGAGGGGGAACCCTTCAGCGAGGAGGCCACGCACTTCACCAAGGAGCTGGTGCTGCAGCGGGAGGTAGGAGCGCGTGGCGCGGGCGCGGGTGCAGGAGGTGCCAACTGCCTCACCAAGGGGCTGCGGGCAGACGCAGCGGGTGGGGGCTTTCCATGGCACAGGAATTGCCACATTCATGTGTCACCGAGTGTCCCCGCTGCTGGGTTTGGGTCTGGGCACAGCCAGGGGGATGCAGGGGCTGCGGTGTCCGTGCTGTGTGCTAGGGGTGGACGAGAGCCCTGTGCCACCGCCGGTCACGGCACGCTGGTGCCACAGGAATGGTGCTTTGCGTTGGAAGCCAATGCGTAAATTTGGGAGGGGGCGTCTCCCCATGACCCCTAAATCTCCTCTTGTGCCGGACGTTTCTCCCCACTGGGGCCAGGGTGGAAAAGCGCTCGCTTGCCTCTTCTTTTACCCTTTTTTTATTTGCATGGAAAGCAATAACAAGAGCTATTTGTGCTGGGCATGGCACGGGGGGGGGGCTGCATCCTGCAGGGTGCCAGCTGAGGGTGCTGAGTGTGCCCCAGAAAGACCGCAAAGGCCGTGGCCCCAAAAAGCACCTGGCAATGACGCCTGCAAAAAAAAAAGGAAAGCACAGAGATGATGCTTGCAGAAAGGGAAAGTGCAGAGGAAGCACGAAGCGGCACAGAGCACCCGCTGCGCTCACAGGCTCCAGGCCAGTGCGGGGAGGAGAGGACAGGGCGAGGAGGAGGAAGGGCTCAGGCTGCGGGTGCCACGTGCAGGGGGGGTGACCCCAGCCCTGGGTGTCACCGTGCCCCCCTCCAGACTAATGGGGAGCTGCTAGGGGATGGTGTGCCGTGCTCAGTTTTCCTGCTGGGGTGGCACAGCCACGCTTCTGTCCTCTCCATCCCATGGCCAGCAGTGCTTCCAGCTCTGCAGCCTCCCCAGAGACACCCAGGGGACAGCAGAAAGCACCGGGCACTGTGCTTGGCCTCGTCCCTGCCACCCGATGTGTCCTCAGCGTGTGCAGGGGGGCATCGAATTGGTCCCATTTGAGTCAAATTGGTCCCATTTGGGTCGAATTGGGCCCCTTTGGTGCACAGAGAACGGGCAGGGGGTGCCCTGCCCCTGTGCAGGGGCTGTGCGAGGGATGCGCGGCGAGCGCACAGCGAGCGCGCGGCAGATGCACGGCGGGCGCACAGAGGATGTGCAGCAGATGCACAGCAGATGCACAACGGATGCACAGGGGGCTCACAGAGGGTGCGGGGTGGGTGTGCAGCAGATGCACGGCAGAAGCACAGCAGAAGCACAGAGGATGCACGCTACATGCATGGTGGATGGTGGACACACGGCGGGTGCACAGAGGATACACCGGGGGTGCAGGAGGGATGCACAGAGGATGCACAATGGTTGCACAGAGGATGCACAGAGGATGCACAGAGGATGCACAATGGTTGCACAGAGGATGCACAGAGGATGCACAGAGGATGCACAATGGTTGCACAGAGGATGCACAGAGGATGCACAATGGTTGCACAGAGGATGCACAGAGGATGCACAGAGGATGCAAAGAGGATGCACAGAGGATGCACAGAGGATGCACAATGGTTGCACAGAGGATGCACAGAGGATGCACAGAGGATGCAAAGAGGATGCACAGAGGATGCACAGAGGATGCACAATGGTTGCACAGAGGATGCACAGAGGATGCAAAGAGGATGCACAGAGGATGCACGGAGGATGTACAGAGGATGTACAGAGGATGCATGGTGGATACACAAAGGATGCACGGAGGATGCACAGAGGATGCACAATGGTTCCATGGAGGATGCATGGTGGATGCACAACGGATGCAAAGAGGATGCACAGGGGATGCACAATGGTTGCATGGAGGATGCTTGGAGGATGCACAGAGGATGTACAGAGGATGCATGGCGGATGCACAAAGGATGCACGGAGGATGCAAAGAGGATGCACAGAGGATGTACAGAGGATGCACAGAGGATGCAAAGAGGATGCACAGTGGATACATGTGGATGCATGAGGGATGCACAGTGGGTGCACGACAGTTGCACAATGGTTGCACAGAGAATGCATGGAGGATCCACAGAGGATTCATGGCAGATACACAGAGGATGCACGGAGGATGCACAGAGGATGTGTGGTGGACGCACAGAGGATGCAAAGCAGTTGCAGGGTGGGTGTGCAGCAGATGCAGAGCAGAAGCACAGCAGAAGCACAGCGGGTGCAGGACAGATGCAGGGCAGATGCACAGTGGGTGCACGCTGGATGCGTGGCAGATCCTGGAGATGCTGTGGGAAGCAGGGGCTGATCCAGCACCTCCACGGCACCGACGCGAGGCCGGGCCACGAGCTGGCTCCTCGGGGCCATCCTCAGAGGGAGCCGTGGCCGGGCCCGACCTTGCATGGCCTCAGCGAATGCTAATTACAGAAATCGCCCTGCAGGGGAACAGCTTTAGATTCTGAGATGAAAAACCGTAAATTACTTGGCTTTTGATCTTCTGAAGGAGAAAGCACCCGGCTGCCCCCAGAGCCGGGTGCCGGTCACCGTGGCCCCGCTGCTCTCGGTGGGGGCACAGCGGGGGCCGTGCGGGGTGTTTGGGGTCTCCGGCCAGCTCTCCGTGAGCTCCGGGGGTGTTTGTAGGATTCGGCGTGAACCTGCCTCCCGTCCCCGCCTCCCCTGTCTTTCGTGTGTGCTCATTAAGGCCTCTTGATATGAAAATTCCCCAGCTCGCGCGACTCCTCTGATTGAAACTTCGGTGCCGCCCGAGCGCGAGATCCATTTTGGGTAATTACGCCGCGATTCAGAATTTCAGCGTAGGATAAAAAAAATGCCCTCCGCAGCCCTTAGCCATCTCCCTGAAGGACTGGCAGGGTAAAACCACGCTCTTTGGGCGCCGATGGCTTTGCTCTGCCCCTCGCTCCTGGCACCCCAGGGTACAGATGTGGCTGTAGGTACAGATTTGGGGCTGGGCACGGGGGGTCCCCCACCCGCTGGAAATGCTGCAGGTGCTGGCTGAGTCGGGGGGTGACGCGTTGGGTCAGGAGGCTCCATCCCTTCTGGGCTCCTTACATGCTGCCAGCCACATCCCATGGACCCCCCCGGGGCTTCTCTCAAACATTTTGGAGGCTCCCGGTGTTTCACCCCCACGCATCGACCCCTTCAGCCTTTGGTCCTAGCCAGGCTCGATGCGCACCGAGTTTTTTTGATGGGGCTCCCCTCCAACAAAGCCACAGCTGCCTCCCCGCTGGAGCCACGCAGCATCAGAGGGCACAAGGGTCCCCGTGGGGTGCCCAGGGCCGTGTTCCCAACACCCTGCAGCCAGGCAGAGCTGCCACCAGCCCCAGGACAAGGGACAGGGGAGTCCCTCCCCGGTGCCCTCGTGGTTCCTGCGTCCCAGCCCCACAGACCGGCTCCAGCTCCTGGGCTCGTGCCCATCACCACATCCCCACAGACCCCCGGTGGCACCGTACCCGGGGTTCCTGCAGCTTTTCCTGCAGCCCCAAAACTCTTGGGGACGATCCCAGGGGCGCGTTTGCAGCAGGAAACCCGAGCGCACGGCAGCGGAGAGGCTGCGGTGGCGTTAATCCTTCCTGCCAGCCAGGAGCCCGAGCGGGGCGGCTTAATAAAAACAATTCCCTGGGGGTGTGGAGCTGCGAAAATGCAGGGGGCTGGGGGAAGGTGGGCGGCCCGCCTGGGAGATGGCAGCCCCCCCCGGCACGTCCCCGTGTCCCCGTGTCCCCTGGGTGCCTCTGCCCCGTCCTCGGGCTTCGGTGCCCGCCTGGGCTCAGACTTTGCCGTGTCCCAGTTGTCCTCAGGGGCTTTTGAATCGTGGCAGCTCCCCATGGGACGTGGGGACAGGGTGACACCCCTCTTTTGGGCTGGGGACAGGGTGACAGCCCCCTCTGTGGGGCACGGGGGCAGGGTGACAGCCCCCTCCCCGGGGCGCAGGGTCGGTGCCATCCCCGTTGCGCCCCTGCCGCTTGCCTCCAGCGTGGCGATGTATTTGGGGGTCCCATCACCCCGTCCATCTGTCCGTCCATCCATCCACCCACCGCTGCCTCTATGGCAGATGGAGGTGTCCCAGGGAAGCCGGGGGGGGCACACTGCCAGACCCCCCCCCCACCAAACCCCGCCGCTGCCAAAACCACGGCCAGGGGTCCCCAACCTCCCAGTCCCCACGGGTGCTCGGTGTTCCAGCACCCAGTTCCTGCTGGCGGGGCAGTGATTTGGGAGTGGGTGGGCTCCGTGGTCTTCACTGGGGGCTGTTTGTCCCCCCCCCACCAGGCAGCAGCTCCAGCGCCACGCTCGCCGGCCTCCCCCGCCTCCCCCGGCACCTCGGGCGCTTGAAAGGTTTTCTCTTCGTAATCTCAGCTCCTCAAGCGTGCCAGGTCAGCAAGCTTTTAAACTCTTTTGCTAAATGCTCAAGTCCTCCAGGAGCTGAGCAGAAAGCAGCTCTTTTATTTTTTTATTTTTTATTTTTTTTTTTTTATTTTCCCCCTTTTTTTTTTTTTTTTTGCCTCGCCTCCCCTTCTCCTTCGTTCGTGCATTGTAGGCGCTGGGCTTAAAGCAAGAGGAGAGCCCTTGGGACACAAAGGGATGGGGATGGGACGGGATGGGGTTACAGGGATGGGGATAGGATGGGGATGGGGATGGGGGATGAGGATGGGGACAGGATGGGGATAGGATGGGGATGGGTGGGGATGGGGGAAGAGGATGGA